TACAATAATCATCTTTATACATTTTTCTCCTCTCTGTGAAATCTTGTAGCATTCATACGTTTTTCGTAAAGAAAATATTTCTGTTCTCTTGCCAATTGACAATTTATGCATTCGTTAACTTTTTCATTAACAAAACTTAAATTAAGTTTTATTGTAATATGGGGAAAGCGCTCGGATCGATTTTAATGAAACTTGCTTGGTTTATTCCTACGTCCCGACCATATTTTGCAAAAATTCACTACCTGCTTTCATAAGATTTCTGAAGATCGAAATATGGACGAAACCGCTTCCAAAAGACGACCGGGCCTAAGACTTAGATCATGTCGGTCAGTTAAAAAATATAAAATAGTTGACAATTAATTTATTATAAAAGAACATTATCACTCACTCACAAATTCACACGTTCTAAATTATTAGCTGAAATTATTAAATAGCAAACAAACAGAAATTGAAACTATTCTTTTGCGCAAAAGCTATGAAGGATAGAAAATTTTATGAAGAAGCCAGACATTTAAAAAAATTATAAGTGCATCAACGCAAAAAAGTTTCTCCAGCAAACCAAATAAAAAGTTCCGGTTGTGTTTGTATTGAAACTCCAAGACACTCAAGAATTCCTCACTTGCCTAAAATGGATAAACTCAGTTGATTCTCCAAAAAATGAATCTTATATAGGAACAATTTTACAGCGAGTTTCATTAAAGTCCACTGTATCATTCTCCCGATATTTCAACAATGATAATTTCTTTGAAGCACTTTGACCGTCAACAGTAGAATATCCGGACATTTTATTTTAGAGAAAGTTGGGTCATATGGTTTTCAAAGAATGCCTCACTGCCCTTTAGGCTCATATCCTTACGAGACACCCTGTATTAGAATTATGTTGGATATTGTGCACGAAATGTTATTTACACATTTTATTACCAAGTGTTATTTTCAGATAACAGTGGTGTAATTAAGTTCTATGGAATGAAAAATATTAGTCATTTATTAGCAACAATTGCTCAATGAAAGTTTAAACGAGAAATCAACACTCACTCCTTCTCATTTCGTGACTTGCTTGAAAAACTAATGATAGTGTATTAATCCCAAATATGTTCTGCTACGTATTAGGAAATAGCTACTGGATAGACCGCAACGTTTTGATTTAAAAAATCTGCTACAAAAATAACAGGTATGTTGAAAAGTTAATTGAAAGTACAAAATATTTCCATCCAACGATTTGATTTAATTTTTTTTTGAAGAATTTGTTTTCCTTGATCGTCCAGCTTGCGGATTTGGAATAGTGATTATATGGACTCACTAAATGACCAAAAACAAAAAACGGAAATTCTCACAAGCAATTATAATTTTTAGGCTTTTCCGGGAAAGTTAACTTAAATGCTTTGAAGTTGGGTTTGCTAATATACGAGGAAACAAATATTTAAATAATTGGAAAATAAGTGAGCCGCCTTGGCGATATCTTTCGCACATATGTTCAATAAATAACTCTCTATTCAATGTAATTGATTTAAAAAATCATGTCAGCACCCAGTGTAGAGGCAGATAAAACTTTCTTCCTCGTTTGTATTACCTTTTCATTGCAGTAGCTATGCAACGCTTCGTCGAAAATTTAGTATTTGTTTTTGGGCATTCATTAGATAACGATTGTCGATTTTTAAATCGTATTTTTCCTTAGATACCTTTCTTCGAAAGGCTGTTGCAGTCGACGCTTTTTGACTCAAACGTGGTCTATAGTAATCTAGTTGTAATGCTGAATATGCCTTTTATCTCGATTAAAATATATTGACGTAACTTCTAAGAAAAAAAATTACATTTTTATGTAGCCTTTATGCAAAGTATTGTCACAATCTGCAGCCATTCAGTTCACAGGCATATTCTACACCCAGTTACTCATTTAACTCAACTATTAAAACCGATGACCAATCATGTACTATAAATTGGAAAGTATTCGGAAAGTCTAAGTCAATAACTGACCGGAAGGAATTTATAGCTTTCTACCAAAATTGCTACATTGCTCTCATAACAAAATAATGTTTTAACGTTGAAATTATGAAAAAGAATAGGCGGAACAATTATAAAAAATCTTATCACAAACAGAATCGACAAAAACCCTTTACCTATTTTATTTGACCAACTTCTATCATATTTTAAAGCAAAAAACTTGAAGATAATTATATGGACTTATGCATTTAGAGAATTAACGCAACGAACATTTTTATGATGTAATCCTACCCACGGCCAGTTTGTAGTTTCAATGCTAAAAACTGAGGTACCAAATTTCCCCAATGCACTCGCATATAAAATGCTCATGTTATCAATTAAATTAAAAGAAAGTGCTTCTTGCGTCGAATATACGATTTGTATTATCAAACCGTACAGCAACGTTAGGACTGATTTACGGAAATCCTGGCCGACCGAAAACCGGCTGACGAACAATTTAACTCTTTTCAATTAAATTAATTTTTAATTGTTGCACAAATTTAATTTTCTTTAAATTCGGGACTCTTCCCACACTTGTCTAAATATAATGAAGCAATGGTTATTTTCACGGGTAGGAAAATGCAGCTTTTAATCAGGAAGTGGTGAGGACCTAAACGAAATTAATTTCAAGAAATTGTGCGACATCTATTTGCGTCCTCTAGCGATATGTTTGTTAGTCCTAATCTCAGTAGATGGAAAATCTATATTTCACAAGTGAGAAACCTTTTACACACATCTTCAATATTTAGTTCCACATCGTTTCTTTCGTCATTTATTTCACTAGTAGAGCGGTCAACACCTCTTTGCCAAGATCACCAATACTTTGCTAACATCACCAACAATTTTGGTAATGTATGAAAACTAAGTTACATGCGAAAAAAACATGTATATAAGCATGTTCCAACAATTAATAAAGTCAATCAATGAATAAATAGGCAAAAATGCCGCAAATTTAATTTCATTAATGAGGTACAATCAAACAAAACACAAGTATAATCTTACTTCCACTTCACTGCAAAAATGTAGATATAAACACAAAGCAAGGAGGTGCCGGTTCAAACCTTTCCGATTTGAATAATAACTCATAGCTTTTACAAATATTTTCAAAACTCCCTTTAGTAAATTTAACTAAATTTGAAACGAAATTTGTAGCGTTCAGTTCTGCAGCCAAAAGTTGCTTTTGAATATACAGGGTGGTTTTTTAGTGCGATAGAGTCCATTATTTCCGATGGTGTTGAACTTTCGAAAAATAGTTTCATATAAAAGTTGTTGACGCACCAAGTGCGCACATTTTGAAAATATCTTATATGATACAGAAGGTCGTCTTCTTTAAATAGAACTACCCATTTTTCATTAGCTCATGGAATTCAGCTTGAAACGCTGCATATGCACTGTAAATTTTTTTCCTTACTTGCGACGTTGGCAGATATCGCCATTTTAGTAAAACTTTGCTTAGAAACATGGTATCTAAAAATTCATTGTAGAAGCAAAAAAAACAGTTAAAGATACAAAAAATACGTCTTTCTAATCACCACAGATCCGTTAAGAATCCTATTGAACTAAAATATCAATACATTGAATATTTGAAATTTTTTAATAAAATAAATTATAATTTGAAAACGGTTGATTTCACAGCTTAAAGTGTAAATGCAAATTTGTAACCTTGTAAATCGTCTATCTAATGACGTATTAATATACAGGTACTTCCATTTAAAAAACAAAAGTTAAATTGCGTTAAAAAGTTTTAGATTGAAGTCCACATTGTTAACACCCTGTACAATGTATTGATATTTTGGTTCAATAGAATTCTTAACGCATCTGTGGTGATTGGAAGGGCGTATTTTTTTGTATCTTTAACTGCTTTTTTTTTGCTTCTGCAATTAATTTTTAGATACCATGTTTTCAAGGAAAGATTTTCTAAAATGGCGATAATCTGCCAACGTCGCAAGTAAGAAAAAAACAATTTACGGTGCATATGCARCGTTTCAAGCTGCATTCCATGAGCTAATGAAAAATGGGTAGTTCTATTTAAAGAAGACGACCTTCTGTATCATATAAGATATTTTCAAAATGTGCGCACTTTGTACGTCAACAATTTTTATATGAAACTATTTTTATAAAGTTCAACACCATCGGAAATAATGGACTATATCGCACTAAAAAACCACTCTGTATATAGAATGGTGGGAGTAATTGTCACTCTAAATTCCACTCAAAAACTTTTTCTCTTCAATCGAAATAAGTAGCAAATAACTGTACGTTCTTTAGATTGTATAACCAATTTACACGATCCGCTCCATATCCAACTGCAGTCTTGCAAGTTGTTACTTGTTACTTTCAGATTCGAAACGTTGGATCTTATTATTATTATTTCTCTTATTACCTAAATATACCTACCGATACCCATCTGTAAATTCTTGTAATATTGTGCAGATTGTTACTTTTTTGTTAGAATTGAGTAAATGATTAATAAATAAAATTAAATATTTGAATAGTTTCTATCAAAAACTTCTTGACAAAGTCCACGCTGCTTCAATTTAATGTAGACCATATAAGTCCACTTATGAAGCAAATATTGTCAACTTAAGGGGCTCAATTAAACTTTCTGCACCCTGTTTAGTAATGGCAGCTTCATTAAATATTGCTTCAAGATATGTAGAATTAGAAACCTGCTTAGGGTTATAACGCAAAATAGTATCGGGTTGAAAACTAAAGTGATAATTATTCCCACCAATTTCCACAACAGTGTGTTGCATCATGAGTAAGTTATTTAGAAGAGATGCAGGTTTTGAAGCCACCCAATGATGTATATATGTAGACATAATCAACCAAAACCCTAATGATGTAGCATGCACTATATTAATTTGAAACCAAACTAATATCAAATTACTGATATTATAAGTAATGTGGCAGATACTACACTATTTTTAAACATCTTTGGTACTTTATCCAAAGTTTCAAACTTTTGAATGCGTTATAACCATCATATAAGAGGATCAAGAAATTGACTTAGGCAGGAATAACATTAGACGTTTATTATCGGGTCGGAGTTGCTCATTTCGTATAATTTTTGATGAAAATAATATGATTCAATATTCAATTTCGAAATGGAAAATTTTTGATAGACACAACAAATTTTTAAAAACTATTTTGCTAAATACTGCCGTCCAAAGCAAGCTCAGAAATATCGATTTCAACTCACATACCTGCATATAAAACAGTTCACTATCTGAAAAGTTTAAGCTACTCTTATTACTATGCGCTATAAAGAAATATAAGATAGGTGTATAAACTTTACATTGTATATGTAACAAAACACTATGTATAATATATTTTGGCTCAATATATAATATAGAGATATGCAAAAGATTCATTTTATCACCTGCAGTTCTGATATGTGACGAGTTACATTAAAGATATGCTTATCGTGATATGAACGGGTAAACATTCAGTTTTATCACTATAGGTTAAACATCTAAGGATTAGCTATTAAACTAAACTTATATAATATTCTATCATATATGTAGTTAACTTATATAAATACACCCATAACTTAACATAACCTACAGACATGCGCGTGGCACTGTTGCATAATGTCTACCTAACCTAACATAAGATTTCTTTATTAGCTTCGTATTTATGATTGTCTGTGACTTAGTATAAACTTGTATTAGAGACGCTTAGATTTATACTATGTCAAACGGCCACATGCAAATGCTGACTGATGATTCATACTTCTTTCCTTGAAGAAGTATTTCTTATAATTATGGATATTCAACTTCAGCTGAAAAATGTAATTATGTGAGAAGATGTGTAAAACATGTTTTTTTATCATTCATTTCATCGTATGTTAGAAGAGTTTTGCAAGGGGATGGATGTGTGGAAAAATTGCTCAATACGGGCATTTAAAGCGAAACTAGAATTAAAGATAGACCGATAGTGGAAGCGAACCAGTATGAAAAAGCAATCCCTTTATATTGAAACGAAAAATACTGCGATTGGCAGATTTCGAATTTTCCAAGCTGATTTTAGAAAAAGATTTGCATATTTGACAGAGCTATTAACTGACCCGATTAACTGGATATTTTCCATTATGTAACCTTCGGGCATATATTTTTGTTTTACGTATTTGATGCGAAGGCCAGATTCTGGCTAAAGTATCTAGTCAGCTCCGGTTTTTTATTTATTAACAAAAAATAATGCCCATTTTATTGAAGTCAAATTACTGACGTCGCCCAAAACGTTTTTTTTGTCATTTTAATTTAGATTATTCTCTATTAAAACTAAATGAAAGCCAACTTTTTACTTCATTGAGTAAATATTGCGAGTTTGCACGGCTTTTGGTACCAGCTTATTTTGAGTTATCTGAAAGCCATAAATTCCTAAAACAGACAGGAATGTAAGCTGCATACGTTAAAAGATGCATGATTACACATATGCATAATATGTTTTCTACATCTTTTCCACACAACCATATTTATATAAATGTTATTATTTGATAGGTATATAAGTAACACATCAGAGCCACTTATCAGTTTATATGCCACTTCTTACATTTAGCTACATTTAGTAAATGCTATTTAAATTAAACACTTTCCTAGCTGACTTTTGTTCGAATATTAGGACAAAGCTACGACGTGTCAAACTGTAAAAACAAGTGAGCTCTAGAAAAATCTAAGCATTTCTACACTGTTTTATGAGGCGAGGATTGGCAACTGAAGACAAATTCCATATAGCTTACAACATCAAACCTCACAAAAAAAATTAACACAAGTTACATTGAAAGACCTGCACATTTAGCTATCTAATACACATTTATAATAGCTTTGCACATCAAATAATAGCAGCAATATATGCCTACTTTTAGTACACATTGTATATTTAACAACAATATTAATAGATTTTCTTATTCCATAATTTTTATAATTTTGAATCACAACCGCTAATTTCAGGAATTGTATTTGAAAAATCTTGAGACAGTGCAGTTCCTGTAATTTGGCAATTCATTTAACTTCCATTACAAGTGCATTAATACGAATCCAAATTTCTTCGTAAATAAATGTTTGTCAAAGCGATTAAGCCAAACATTTTGCAGTCCAAACCTTTTACTATCTTTTAGCATCTTTGTGTGTCATGTCCAACCCTAGCCCCACAAATTCTCAAAAGCCGACTACAAAGTTTCATTCGAAACTGACCTAAACTTTTAAAATCTAGTCCTACCAATTTTGTTTGCCCTCAAGGAAGTTGTCTAAGGTTACATCTCAACCCGTGGCTAAGTTTGAAACATACAACTTGAGCCCTTTAGAAATTTATATTCCAGCAAGAAATACAGTAAGCAAATTCATTATCAGTAGGACCCCAGCGATTGCTGATTCTAGCCGGTTGGACGACGAAGATATTTTGCTAAGATATGTATTCACGCAAGGCGGGTCATCAGATCCTGAAACAAAAACCATTTAATGTAGATAAAAATAATTATATTCCATTCGTTGATTCAATTGTATTTCGCCTATTTAGATTTTATCAAACTGATACCAGATTTATGCATTATTTGCCAGTTAGAGATAAAAAGAAATTGTTTAGAAAGGGTGTTGAAAACTAATTCCAAGAAGTTCTGAGAATTCTAAAGCCACTATTCGCGTTATAAAAAAAACAGGTTTACAAAGTCACTAAGAAGCTACTGTGTGTATGTAATACAGGTAAGGTAAGGGTAATTTACGATCGACGGCAGATTATACGTTTAAGGATGCACGATCTTTCTGAAAATGTGTACCATTAACTTAATGGTAGATACTTGCGACGTTTCCGCTTATATAAAAAAGTACCTACAATATAGATATTTATTTATTGGTAAGTATTATACAGGGTGACAAAAAAGTACCAGCCAAATATCTCATAAATTATAGCAAATACAAGAAAATGTCCCTAGTAGAAATCGGAACAATTTAGTTCGTTAACAAACTAGTATATGGTTATGTTTATGCGAGAGAAATGTTTTGCTAAAATTGACAAATAATTATGTATGACATGCCCATTTTCACTAAGAGAATTATTATCATTTTTAGTTAAATAAGAAATGACGAAAAAATGGCCATATTTTGGCCATTTTTTCGCCCAGAAAATGCCAATGAAAAAAAACTGGTGTTATTACTATTGCAACAAGCAGTTTGCGGCCAAATGTTACTATACTGTGTACTGTTTCGTGAATTTAAGACCACCTAACCTCTATTTCGGCCGTTCAAAATCTTAAAATGTCCTATTTGTACAATCCTGTTGTACAACACCTTAAAATAATGATTATAGTATTATTTTCCAGTCAATAAAATTTTTGTAAAGAATTGAATACTCATTCCCTGTTGGTGTTTGGAGAATACACCACCAGGGAATGATTATTCTTCAATATCTTTACAAAACTTGTTTTTTTCATTGGCTGTAACTGGGGACTAATTGGCTCCTTTTCCCGGAACGTTTGATACGAGATGATTTGCCTGTTCTTCTAGACCACGTGACACTGAACATCATTTTGGAAGGAAAGTGTTGTAACTCTTAAACAATACTCTTCGGATGATACATAGGGTGTTCCCCCAGAAAAATGTAATTGGGATATTTTTTTTACTCAAGCTGGAAGAGCCACAGTGAATGTACACCACGACATCTTGTATACCTACTAAAGAACAAATTGGTCTAGGTGTTGCGGAATCCCAACTAAAAATCACAACACAATTTGATTAAATCCGAATTTTTGTCTGATATTATGACTACTACTCAAACAAGGCAAAGAGCAATTGGACAGATATATTACTCATATTCAAACCTAACTTTGGAAAGTGCACATGTTATTAAATTTTTTTATATAAATGCAATCATACACATATGATTTCGTGCTGAATATCTATTAGATACTTAAGCTAGATTAGAAGCTATAAAAAGTGTATTTTGAAGAATTTATTTTTCAATGCATTCTCATTTGCTTATTTTTTCGGATAATCAATGTTTTCACATTTGCTTTTTTACTTTGGTCCAATGCGAACAGAACTGGCAACTTCAATGGAATGGAAGGGCATTCAAACACATTTTAGGCAGAAAACGGTGGTATTACAGGTCACCATACTCCACCAGTTCCCTAATATTCGAATACACGAAAGCTGGGTTCTGATGAGTCTGGAATACGCCCGGAATGCGGAATGTGGAAAACCTTCCGACCAATTAGAAGTTTGCCGGATGCGTTAGCTCCGACCATCCGCAGAAGTTCCCACATTTTAATATTTTCCGCATGGCGTGCGGAATAAGGTGAAAACCTAGGTTATCTCCAGTGATGCTCCAGTGAAAGGTTATGTTCAGCGGCGTCTATTGGCGTTCAGCGACCGTCTTTCATTTTGATGTTTTTGTTTCCTCCTTTTTAGAATGTACAAAGACAAAAGCAGATTTAACTTTGGGTTTCGAACGTTCATTGCATGCGCCTCAAAAAAACTGGCAACAAAAAATTTAGAAAAAGGAGTTGCATCGTGTCTCGCTTCCCGAAAGATGTGCCAACACTGTCGGCGGAATGCGGAAAAAAGAATCCGAATGTGAACTGCGTTTATTTTTCCGCACGTAGTAATGGTAGTAGTAGGCTGCGCGCGTGCCTTCCGCAGTCCGCTACCGCAAAGCATTCCGGACCCATGAGAACCAAGCTTAAGGAGGATAAAATTTCTATAATCTGCTTTAAATACTAATGATTCACATTGACGTCAGTACATTCCTGTGACCACAAATGCTGGTACTTCAACTTTCACAGAAAAGCATGGTAAGATATTATTCAATCTACAACCCAACAGACACACTACCCGTGGAAATAGCATTTAAACAGTCCATGGAATTTGCAGTGCATCTTGGTTTTGTCCTCAAGCATACAGGGTGATTCAAAATTGGCGTCATTCCTTTTAAGGGATGATAGAGGCTCCCTTGGGGAGTACCAGAAAAATATTGAAAATTTTTTTTTCGAAAATTTCTAGAAGATATTAACAGTTGAAGATCGAATTTCAA